CATTCTAATATACTGATTTGCTGCTAAAGAAACCCTTATTATTATTATCAATTATGAAAACAGTTGTGCTGCATAATATTTTTGTGTAAACTTATTTTCATTTTTTTTTTAAGAATAAAAGGTTTAAAAGAACAGCATTTATTTGAAATATAACATTTTGTAGCCTTATTGATGTTTTTGCTGTCACTTTTTTATCAATGTAATGCTTCCTTTGTATAAATGTATTAATTGGTAATGTACAATTGTAAATGTTATTCATTCATTTATTCTTGTGTAATGGTGACAAACTGCATAATTATAGTGGAAAAATAGGGTCATAAATGTTCCTTCACATCCTCCCAATCTATAAATTAGTTAGCAACCTTTATATAGTTAGCAAACTAACTATCTTCAGTGGTTGATTCTCAAACTATTACATTTGTTTCCATATGTTGTTATTGCTCTGGTGAAAAGCAGCTCTCATTCTCTGACTGCAGGGATCTGGACTTCTCAGGTTTCCTCCTAAAGAAGACCGTGAACAGTACTGAACCTCCCTGTAGATATGACCTGATCGCTGTTTCGAACCACTACGGCGGACTCCGAGACGGTCACTGTATGCTATGCATCAGTCTTTTTAGCTTTTATTAAACAGCACTAATGTCAAAAATTGCATGCTATTTTGATTAGTGCCAATAACATTGCACAAATATTTCTCTTTTGTCCCCTTCTAGATACTAGTTATGCCCGGAACAAGGATAATGGTCAGTGGTATTACTTTGACGACAGCAAGGTGACCTATGCAAGGGAGGAACAAATAGTGGTGAGATTAATGCAGCTTTCTGTGGTTTGCTTTATCAACATGAAATCAAAATAGACCCTTTATGTTTTTTATTACATTTCCTTGGTCTTGCCGTGCATGATTCATCAGTGCACGCTCTTCTAAAATGAAATGTTTGTTTTTCCTCAAAATACAATAACTTTCTCAGCCTCCGAAATGACTTGGCCACACGTGTCAAAAAAGACAGATCTGTTTAAAATGATGTCCACAAGAAATGGTCATATCAGTGGACTGGAGTTGTTTTATTCTACATAAACTCATGGTGGCCGCTCCCAAATTATTAGCCTGGATCTCAAACCCAGGTGTAATTTGGGAGTTGGCTAATAATAATATCATTAAAAATACAATTAATAAGTTTACTATTTGTGACCCTGGACCACAAAACCAGTCATGAGGGTAAATTTTTCTAAATTAAGGTCTATACATAATAATAATATTTGGTTGAGATACAATGATTTGAAAATCTGGAATCTGAGGGTGCAAAAAAATCAAAATACTGAGAAAATCGCTTTTAAAGTTGTCCAAATGAAGTTCTTAGTAATGCATGTTACTAATCAAAAATGAAGTTTTAATATATTTACAGTAGGAAATTTACAAAATATCTTCATGGAACACGATCTTTACTTAATATCCTAATGATTTTTGGCATAAAAGAAAAATCAATAATTTTGACCCATACAATGTTTTTTTTGGCTATTGCTACAAATATACCCCAGAGACTTAATAAGACTGGTTTTGTGCTCCAGGGTCACATTTAGTGCTTTTATAGTGCTTAATGGTGATTCACGAAACTACATCTAAACAAACCAAACCATTTAATAAGCACAATATGACAAAAGTTTGGGGTCAGTATGTTTTTTTTTGTTTTGTTTTTTTTTAGACTTTTTAATACTTTACAAATGCTAGGTTCTTTTGAATTTTCTAAACATCAGAGGATCCTAAAAAGTGTATAAATGTCCATAAAATTATTAAGTGTTTTCAACATTCGAAATGTTTCTTGAGCAGCAAATCAGCGTATTATACTGATTTCTGAAGGATCATGTGACACTGAAGACTGGAGTAATATTGCTGAAAATTCAGCTTTGCATCACAGGAATAAATTACATTTCGAAAACAGTGACTTTAAATTGTAATAATATTTCAGTTTTTACTGTATTTTTGACCATTTAAATTCAGCCTCGGTGAGCAAAAGAGACTTCTTTCAAAAACATCTTTCTGTTTGACAGTCACTGGTCACTGAAACGTTCACTCTCCCTCTATTCTTGTAGACCAGTGCCGCCTACCTCCTGTTCTACCAGCGCCAAGACAAGATCCGCCATCCCACCATCCCTCCACCCATACCCTCCTCCACCCAGCCAGAGAACCACGTCTCATCCCAGACCTGTGATGGCATGGATGGAGCCGCTTCCTGTGTCAGCATGGAGACGGACTGATTTCTGTCCTTTTGTCTTTTACACGTTCCACTTCATTCTTTCTCACTCTTATCACTTCCATCTTTCTGGCATACTGTCGATCGTCTTAATCAACAGAAACTTGAACCTCCGCCTCTGCTCTGACTCCGACAGGAAGTGCGAGGCAGGGGCACCTCTCTCAGGCTGGTGCACGAGCATCATGGGGTTGGGAATGCAGATTTATGTGGTTTTTTTCTTTATGACGAACTCAAGGAAACGGGTTAGGCTGGTAGTGGCGGATTCAGTCGCTTCAATGACGATGGGAATTCAGAGAATGAGGTTGGCGCTGCAGTTGGTCATCACTGACGTGTTCTTTATTTTTTTCTAAGCTTGCTTTTCTGAGCTAGCTCAGCTGCTGTCCACGGTGGTGATGTTTGATCTGAACGTACAACCCTCTCTTTCTCTGACTGCAGGGATCTAGACTTCTCAGGTTTCCTCCTAAAGAAGACAGTGAACAGTACTGAACCTCCCTGTAGATATGACCTGATCGCTGTGTCGAACCACTACGGCGGACTCCGAGACGGTCACTGTATGCTATGCATCAGTCTTTTTAGCTTTTATTAAACAGCACTAATGTCAAAAATTGCATGCTATTTTGATTAGTGCCAATAACATTGCACAAATATTTCTCTTTTGTCCCCTTCTAGATACTAGTTATGCCCGGAACAAGGATAATGGTCAGTGGTATTACTTTGACGACAGCAAGGTGACCTATGCAAGGGAGGAACAAATAGTGGTGAGATTAATGCAGCTTTCTGTGGTTTGCTTTATCAACATGAAATCAAAATAGACCCTTTATGTTTTTTATTACATTTCCTTGGTCTTGCCGTGCATGATTCATCAGTGCACGCTCTTCTAAAATGAAATGTTTGTTTTTCCTCAAAATACAATAACTTTCTCAGCCTCCGAAATGACTTGGCCACACGTGTCAAAAAAGACAGATCTGTTTAAAATGATGTCCACAAGAAATGGTCATATCAGTGGACTGGAGTTGTTTTATTCTACATAAACTCATGGTGGCCGCTCCCAAATTATTAGCCTGGATCTCAAACCCAGGTGTAATTTGGGAGTTGGCTAATAATAATATCATTAAAAATACAATTAATAAGTTTACTATTTGTGACCCTGGACCACAAAACCAGTCATGAGGGTAAATTTTTCTAAATTAAGGTCTATACATAATAATAATATTTGGTTGAGATACAATGATTTGAAAATCTGGAATCTGAGGGTGCAAAAAAATCAAAATACTGAGAAAATCGCTTTTAAAGTTGTCCAAATGAAGTTCTTAGTAATGCATGTTACTAATCAAAAATGAAGTTTTAATATATTTACAGTAGGAAATTTACAAAATATCTTCATGGAACACGATCTTTACTTAATATCCTAATGATTTTTGGCATAAAAGAAAAATCAATAATTTTGACCCATACAATGTTTTTTTTGGCTATTGCTACAAATATACCCCAGAGACTTAATAAGACTGGTTTTGTGCTCCAGGGTCACATTTAGTGCTTTTATAGTGCTTAATGGTGATTCACGAAACTACATCTAAACAAACCAAACCATTTAATAAGCACAATATGACAAAAGTTTGGGGTCAGTATGTTTTTTTTTGTTTTGTTTTTTTTTAGACTTTTTAATACTTTACAAATGCTAGGTTCTTTTGAATTTTCTAAACATCAGAGGATCCTAAAAAGTGTATAAATGTCCATAAAATTATTAAGTGTTTTCAACATTCGAAATGTTTCTTGAGCAGCAAATCAGCGTATTATACTGATTTCTGAAGGATCATGTGACACTGAAGACTGGAGTAATATTGCTGAAAATTCAGCTTTGCATCACAGGAATAAATTACATTTCGAAAACAGTGACTTTAAATTGTAATAATATTTCAGTTTTTACTGTATTTTTGACCATTTAAATTCAGCCTCGGTGAGCAAAAGAGACTTCTTTCAAAAACATCTTTCTGTTTGACAGTCACTGGTCACTGAAACGTTCACTCTCCCTCTATTCTTGTAGACCAGTGCCGCCTACCTCCTGTTCTACCAGCGCCAAGACAAGATCCGCCATCCCACCATCCCTCCACCCATACCCTCCTCCACCCAGCCAGAGAACCACGTCTCATCCCAGACCTGTGATGGCATGGATGGAGCCGCTTCCTGTGTCAGCATGGAGACGGACTGATTTCTGTCCTTTTGTCTTTTACACGTTCCACTTCATTCTTTCTCACTCTTATCACTTCCATCTTTCTGGCATACTGTCGATCGTCTTAATCAACAGAAACTTGAACCTCCGCCTCTGCTCTGACAGGAAGTGCGAGGCTGGGGCAACTCTCTCAGGCTGGTGCACGAGCATCATGGGGTTGGGAATGCAGATTTATGTGGTTTTTTTCTTTATGACGAACTCAAGGAAACGGGTTAGGCTGGTAGTGGCGGATTCAGTCGCTTCAATGACGATGGGAATTCAGAGAATGAGGTTGGCGCTGCAGTTGGTCATCACTGACGTGTTCTTTATTTTTTTCTAAGCTTGCTTTTCTGAGCTAGCTCAGCTGCTGTCCACGGTGGTGATGTTTGATCTGAACGTACAACCTTCAGCTGCACTGTTTAGCATCATGAATCAGGCCTTCTATTTATTCCATCTCATTGTTTCAAGCAGCGACATTCATCGTGGGCGCTATTAGCAGGGATGGTTGGGATGGGGGTTTCTCGTATCAGGGACGACATGTTCAGAAATGCTGCAAAAGATGGGTGGAAAAATAGGTGGAGGTAAATGAGAAATAGCTTTCTGTCCACTCACTCGTGAACTATTTATTTTCATAATTGCTAGATGCTAATGTGGAGTGAGAGATTATAAATGTAAAGAGCGGCTTCTGAAGATCTTCCATTTTTATTTTCATTCTTTTGATGGTTTTTTCATCTGTCGTAAGGTCTGGGAAAAGCCACTCTGTTGCAGGACACAAACGGAGGCCTGTTTTCCAGCTTTTTTTTATTTTTATCTAATTGCAAAGAAATGCACGCCCAGATTTAAATATTCCATTCTTTTTGACTAGCTGCGTGCAATTTATAACAAACTCTTTGGAGCTATGAGAATATTTCAGCAAAGTGCTTTCTGGATAGAGCTCTTTACGTGATGATTTTAAGGCACCTCTGTACAGTATTTTTGTATTGTAATAAATGTTGTATTATCTTTGATCATTTGGATCAGATGCTGGGGATGGGGGAGCTTTCATTTTATTTTGTTAATTATAGATTGAATATATAATTGAATACACATCTTTTGATATGAATAAATGCTGACTATAAAGTCAAGGTTAGATTGGACACATTTGACTTCCATTTACATTGTTTTACCTCTGAATAAAAGGACGTGTAGACGTGCATTCCCTCGGTTCGTACTGATTGCATATTTGAACATTTCTCAGTTGCTCATAGTGTTGTAATTAATTTGGCCTACTGCGTAAAGATCTTATAGAAAATGCTTTTTCATTTGCACTTCCCATTAAGTGACTGCTTTATTGCGTTCCTCAGATGATAATGGATACAGTTTATCGCACTGTTCTTTGAGAGATGTATAAACATATCACTATATGTGGGAGGAGCACTTAATGCATTCAGTATGTTCAAATGTCTAATATAATAATAACACAGGTGAATATTCATACAGAAAATTCTGTATGAGAATGTCTATACATAATGATAGTATTTGTTTACTTAATTTATGCAGATTAAATTAAAAGTAAAATGTATTATTACAGTAAATTGTAAATGGCCCAATATGTTCTTGACTGGATTTGTGAGATTTACAAACTTTTTTTTAATAGTCCCTTAAAGGGGTCATATGATGCTACATGCACTTTTACAAGTAGTTTGAACTGAAATGTGTGTTGGCGGTGTGTTAAAATGATCAAAATCCACCCAGTGGTTTTTTTTTTATCTGCTCAAATCTTTCTCAAATCGAGCCGATCTCAGATGCCTGTCTGTGTGACATCACAAAAACAGGCCCCTCCCACGATAGTTTGATTGACAGTAGCGTTTCATCACAGACTGGACTGGTGTCTTACCTTAGCTCCGCCCTGAGTGAGCTGTCATCAGTCCGCCATTGTTTCACCGCCGGAGCAGATGTAGACAAGAATGACTCCTAACAAGCAATTGAGGTGTTTTGTTGTTGGCTGTAATAATGAACATAGCAGTCATCATTTACTCCCGACATCTGAGCCGCTGAACTCGCAGTAGATTACGTTTGTTTCTGAAGAGAATGCGCCCCCGATCTACATAAATGCGTCTATGTTCGCGCGAATCATTCCTGATCCAGCTTCATCTACAGAAGAAGTGAGTGTAAGGTTTTTTAAATGAATCTTTGCAAATCCCCTCGGAAGAGAGGGGCGGGGTCAGCAGAGCTCATTAACATTTAAAAGGAAATGGTACAAAAACGGCTTGATCTGAAAAGAGCTGTTTTTGACAGGGTAAAAAAAGGTGTTTTTACACTACCATTGAGAAATTTTAACCAAACTATGTTACAGACTTTTCATTAAGACCCTAAAGAATCATATCAACTTGTGGAAAATGGGCATCCTATGACCCCTTTAAATGATTTAGCTCATTTCTCATCTGCAGCCTTCCACTTTGTACAAGGTTTAATGAATGCAATGATCCATTTAAAAAGTTTTTTTTGTTTGTTTTTACTATATTTACCGTAATTAATGGCTTCATTCTACCATTTATTTCTAAAATGATTCACTAGTGCTGGAATCAACAGCTTCAGAAAGCCACATACAGCATAATTTCTTTAATGCAGCATGTTTCTAATATTAAATTCAGATATTTATTAGAGCTACCGTGCGACCTGCTATCATGATTATATTATTTCAGTGAAATCCATCAGATGGTCAGCTGTGAATATTTGAAATGTTAAAGCAATTCAATATGTTTGAGCTTATTTCTGTCAATGCTACACAATTTTTTTTGCAATATTCGAAAGCCCATTTCACAGTATAAAACACCAATTTTCATATTTGTGCCTTTGCATTGTGGGGGCATTTTTTGTACAGAAATGAAATATTATAAATAAGTTATCAAATAAAAGCTTTATGAGTTTTGGATATTGAGTATGTAGTATTTTCAGTCTGAAACGTGGAGTCGTGTAAGTGTTAAACATTTGAGTTACCTCTGTGTGATTCACAAACATTAGACAAACCACCTTTTAGCTTCTAGCTCATTTCCTCTCGTCTGATTCATAATTCCTCTCATCTGAAGCACAAACTGATTTCCTCCTCACCTTAGGGTTCCATATAATGTTTATTAAACAATTATCTCTTGCACAGTTACATTTGCTGTTTGCTGTTATACTATCTCTCTGACTGAAATAATGGCTTGTCAATAAAGAACTGTGTGTTATAATTACAAACCACAATAGAGAAAAACTGCCGGATATAGACAGGTTAATCAAAAAATAAATGAATATAATTTAGATCTATGCTTACAACAAATTAAAAGTTCATGTGCAACACTCACGGTTCACAAAAACATGTCAGACATAGATGCTTTGCAGGACATTCACATTAATTCAGAACAAACTAACCATCAAGATCACTGCAGTCAACGAGTATCAACATTGTAAAGAAATCACATCTGCTTATGAATTGAACCATCTTAACAGCACTGGTTCTTATCAAAAAGTGATTTGCAATCAGACAGACGTCAGAACAGGGTTGTTTTGTACTGTAGTTCTTAGCTAAAGAGTCCTCTGAAGTTCAGATCCTGACGCACGAGTTCCTCCTCTACGTTCTCCAGGGCCCATTTGTGCTCCACAATCTCCAAGGCTTCCCACTCGCTCTGAAACAATGGTAATGAATACATTTAGAGCATTGAAGAGCTTTATACATCTGAGAAGAGTGTGAACATTCTGCTAAACGTCTCCTTTTGTGTTCCACAGCAGAACGAATGGCATACGTGTTTACAACAGCATGAGGGTGAGTAAATGATGAGCACATTATCTCTCTCTCTTGAAGCATATAATTATTTGTGTACGAGGATCGAATCGACTCATTGCACCCGACACAATCTGCATTCCCCAAGAAATATAATGTTTCAATAGTTCTGCAATTATGCGAGATTCAAAACGGCAAAGTTTAAGGTTTCGCAATTATCCTAAGATGATGAGGTTATGAAATGAAAGCAACCACGTTTCCACATCGGGGCTGCTGTTGCATGCATCAGTCCGTCCACTGGGGCTGTAGGCGCTGTACTCCCAAGAAATATTAACTTTAAATTTGTGTTAAACACAAATAACTGCTGGCATGTTTTTTTTTTACGGACGTTGCGTGCATGTTTGTCCCAGAATAATTTCATATTGCTAAGAAAGAAACCACATAAAGAGAACGATAATCACATATAAACTGTTTAATTTGTGCAAATTATGTTCTACTTGCCTTAAATGCTTTATTAGGATCAGGGGGCATCGCCATCGCCGCCCCTGTCATTTGATCCTGCATAATTCTCGACTGATCCGCAGCTGAAAATAAACACCTTAGTTTAAATAGCTGAGCAAGTCATCTCAATTTCACAGAAAAAAATACAATATTTTAATATAATGTTTAATACAACACATAAGGTAATTACACATTATATATATATATATATATATTCACTGTATGATATTAGATATTGTGTTATATTAAAATAATATACTTTATTGTAATATAATAATTCATAATTTAATATAACACATTAAGGTTGAGGTCATAAAACGGTCTAAATATCAGAAACAAAAACAACCAACCAACCATTGTCTTGTCCGAGGATGAGTGTGTACATGCTTCTGAGCCCAAACACATTAAGAAAATACCATGACGCTGAACTGACCCTATAAGAGCAACAAATTCAGATTTTATTCACAGTTTTCAGCTTCTGGTAATAAATAAAAAACATCAATGTCAATACTGTACCAGGAAGCGTCCAGAGAGATCAGCTCAATTCCTCTCTGTAACATGGGCTTGAATCTCAGAGTCAGAGGAAACGGAACTTTAGCTGAACGGGAAACAAGCAGCACAAAAAAAAAAGACTTTTATAACAATTCAATTAAACTCTTGCAAGCTTACTTTTTTCAAATAACATTCACTTGAGATTTAATCAGATAAATAGCAGCCATTACAGCTTTTAGACATTTTCTAGTCATCCTCGTCTGCTTTTAGGGAAATCATTATATTTTTGTTTGGTAACGTTGAGAAAACGCAAACTGTAGCTGCATTAAGAGAGAACAGAAGCTTCCGCCAACCACTTCCATCAGCAGTGGACTGAACAAACGCATTTGCGGTAATCCTACTATGGTTAGAGCCCACCTACCAACGTCTGCATTTCAGAAAATTAGTTATGAATGCACTGGCCAAACGTTACATCACCCAATTAAAATTCATGAGCCGGCTGTTAAGGTTTAGAATGTCTCCCTACACATTTCAGATGCTTCCTACATCCCTGAATTCAATCGCACTTACAAATGATTGTTTTAGGAATAAGACTACATTCACACATGCTCACTAGATCCTTTTTATCGTTTTAAGGGAGGTGCTCACCATCAAAAAATGGAAATTTGCTTAATATTTACTCACCCTCAGTCCAAAAAAGATGTAGATGGGTTTGTTTCTTCATCAGAACAGATTTGGAGAAATTTAGCATTGCATCACTTGCTTAGCTCTGCAGTGAATGGGTGCCGTCAGAATGAGAGTGCAAACAGCTGATAAAAACATCACAATAATCCACACCACTCCAGTCCATCGATTAATGTCTTGTGAAGCAAAAAGCTGCGTGTTTATAAGAAACAAATTCATTATTAAGACGTTTTTAACTTTAAACTGTTGCTTCCGGCTAAAATGCATGTCCTCTATCCATAATATCATTTCCTTAAGTTCCAAGTAATTAAACTCTTAAGAAGACCTTGCCTAGAATTTAATACTTTTCAGGAAATAATTACAGATACAGATTTCCATATATTGTAATTGGGACAAATTTAAAAGATCTGATGATCAGGTTTGGGCAAAATTTTGAAAATGTCTCCTTTTCAATTCAGAGGATTTTGCATTATTAATTATACGTTGACTCCCTGATATGCAGAATACATATTTGCATACAGTATTTGTAAACAATAATGTTCAATACTGCCAATATAATTCACTCAGCAATCAAAACTTATTTTAATTTTGCCAAGACAACTTTATAAAGATAAATACTGACAACTTTAAAAAAAAAAATTCAAATCAATTATACATTTTTAGTAAATTTTTGTGTGTTGAATATAATTAAACAATTTAATAGATGGAATTTAATTCATCAATATTCTGCCAAGACAAACTGTGTACAGATAAATACTGATATATATTTTTGAAGTTAATTATTATTTTTATTAAAATGAAGTATTGAATATAATGTTATTTTATTAATGTTTTTTAACATTATTTTATTTATTTAGTCATTTATCAGACGCTTTTATCCAAAGCGACCTCCAAGTAAGGACAACCGAAGCAATCGATTGTAGTATTAAAACAACTAAAAACAGATCCAAAACTAAAAGCTAAAACTTTATAAATACTACTTATACACATTTTAAAAAATAAAGAGATTAAATAAAAATGACAAATGCATACAACAAAATTTCAAAACTTAATATTTAAATGAAAAGCAAAAAATAAAGCTAAAAACAATTCAAAATATTAAAGAACAAAAGGTATAAGAGTATAATAATGATTCTAACACAACACTAAGCCAAACACCAAAAAATAACTACATATATATGTATGTGTATGTACAACCACACACACACATACACACAATCTCTCGCTCTCTCGCTCTCTCTCTCTCTTTCTCTCTCTCGCTCTCACTCTCTCTCTCTCTGGCTTGCTCGCTCGCACTCACACACACACACACGATGCGCAATACTCCACATTTGAACAGTCAATAGCAAATACTTAAACTAATAACAAAACAGTAGCTGATTCAGAAGCGCCAGATTGTCATAGCAAAGTCAGAATGACCTCCTCTCCTAGGTTCACGAAACGGTCGTCCATAAAATGCATTGCTGTTCTGTTGTAAGTCATCTTAAAGATTCCTAAATGCATCTACTTCTGGAAGGCCAAATAAAGTGCTTTTGCTTTCGCCTAGAAACACACAGCGTCTCCCTGACATGGCTGCTTCAACACTAACTGCGGTTACTGAAACCATGCCTTCTTTCTTTGCGTGCACATTTGGGCTGCATTATGCAAATATTTCCACATAGTGAGGTAGATATGTGGGGGCGTGTTAGAACGAGCCGTTTTAGGGGGGCGTGGCAGAGTCTTAACTTTAATAAAGAATATCTCTTTGGTTTTGAGACTTTAGTCTTTGCAACTTCAGGGATCTTATCTATGCACAATCAGCTTGTAACACTCCAAAGAGAAAGGAAAACTTGAAATCGCATCATATGACCCCTTTAAATCAAACTAAAACTTAATAAAAGACCTATACAGACATCATAAATTCAAACATAATGTAACTAAAATTTAAATAAATAACTAATACAAATCAAACTACTGTGTTAAAAAATAACACTGCTAAAAAACAACAACTTACTGACACATAGTAAGAAATGGTTATAAAAACGGAAACAGAAGCGAAACAAGTAATAGGAATTAATTAATTATAATTATTAATTACTTACATTATACATCTTTTGCTATCTTTTTTTAATAGAATTACAGTATTCTACCTATTGTGAGTCTGATAGCATGAATTAGTCATCTCACCTGTCAGACACCTGCTGCAGATCCACTTTCTTGTCGTTATGAATCAGCTGAGTGACATAATGCCGCAAAACTCCGACGAAGAATGTGATGAAGACTATGGGCAAAACAACCCACAGGCGAATGCTGGAGTCCAGCAGCAGCTCTGGGCCTGCCATTCCCTCACCAAAACTATCCTTTACAACTATCTGTACTCAAAACACTGACACTTTTCAAGTTTATTGTAATGCTCAAATTACGACAAAGTGAAAAGTCAAAGTATGGTAAAACTGCTGCACTTTTATACTACAGTAACGGCACATTGAACATGCACTATATGCGCAGCTGCTTTTTGACCTTTGCACTAGTAGTGAGGTCCGATTCGTGAACGAGTCGTTCAAGTGAGTCGGATCTTTTAAACCGATTCACTAACCAGTCTGAATGATTCAAATACGAATTGGACCGAATCAGTCTGTGCGCCACTCAAATGAAAGGAAAAATATGTATTATTGATTTGCTTTTGTTATTAGGGAAATTTTATATTCATCAAACTAAATGGAGTAACTAAAAACTCAATTTTGCTCATTTTCAAACAGCCTTTAAAGTTTATTTAGAATTTGTCAAATAAATTTAAAAAAAATTTAAAAAATCGAAAAGCCCAAAAGAAAGGCCTCTGCTGAATTTAACATGTTTGTGATGCCCATTCATTTTTTTTATTTTTTTTTCTCTTTTAACTTATATTTTCTATTTTATTTCAATTGTTTCAGATTATACTTACACAATGTGTAAATGTGAGAAATATGTCAAGAACCTGAGCTGTTGAATTCTGTAATTTTGAAAGTTCAATAAAAAAAGAGTCATCATTGAACCGAGTCTCTTTTGAACGTGACAGTTTTGATAACACATATACACGAAATATAGATAGTTTAAATAATAGTGAGTAATGTGTGCATAATACCTTTAGTCAAACGTTTCAAACTTGTAATATACCGTTCGAAGATGTCAGGGATCAAGTCATAACGTAAAAAAAAGACCATAGACTGTATAAAAACAGATGAACTGTTTCAAAGAACCGATTCGCAGAAATGAGTCGCGTGTCCCATCACTACTTTGAACTATGACATATTTACATATTCACTTATGTTTTATTATGTGCTTATTTTCTATCACTAACCGATAGGTAAAAGTATGGCTAATATATGAAATATATATATATATATATATATATTTTTTTTATTTAAAGAAAGAAAAAGTAGCTAACGCCATTTCCGGTTTCGAAGACGTTTCCGTGTGTATCTTGTAAACAAGAGACCACGTGACAGGCTGAAGGAAGGTTTAGCTTCACACAGTCGAGCATTTTTTGTATTAAAACAAATTCGTTGTAAGCTGCAAGCGTTTTACCGCTGCACCAGCCCAGCGAAGGGGCTGTCGATCTCTGATGCATGTTAATATTACAAACATTGACTACTATTAAAATAAATATCGCTGTATTATAGTCGTTCTGCAACCATCTTTTTTCATATCATGACTCCTGGGGCGCCCGTTATTAATGAAAAAGTCTTGCAGTATGAGACATTTATCAATGAAGTATTGAAACGAGACTTACAGTAAGTATCATCGCTTGATTTTTAGCTTTGGTGGAACAGCTGCAATAGCAATGCTACATGTTTGTACCATGGTAATCCCGTGATTTCTTTAAATATGTACTATCGTAATACCATGGTATTATTTGAAGTACCATTGAGTTCCACATAAATGCCCATTTTACATGATAACGTATATGTATATGTTAATCTCTCTCTCTCTGTGTATATATATATATATGTATGTATATATACAGTGGGGAAAATATTTATTTGATCCCCTGCTGATTTTGTAAGTTTGCCCACTTACAAAGAAATTGAAGCGTCTGTAATTTTTATGGTAGGTTTATTTTAATGGATAGAGACAGAATACCAACCAAAAAATACAGAAAAAACACATTATGGTAAGGTTACAGATTGATTTGCATTTCAGTGAGTGAAATAAGTATTTGATCCCCTACCAACCAGCAAGAATTCCGGCTCACACAGACTGGTTATGTGCCCATGTGAAACACAGATTAGTCCTGCCACTTAAAGAAGTTACTCCTAATGTCAGCTCGTTAGGTGAATAAAAGACACATGTCCACACAATCTGTATCTTCCATTCCAACCTCTCCCACCACCATGGGCAAGACCAAAGAGCTGCCAAACGATGTCAGAGACAAGATTGTAGATTGCACAAGGCTTGAGTGGGCTACAATACCATCAGCAAGAAGCTTGGTGAGAAGGAGACAACTGTCAGTGCGATTATTCGGAAATGGAAGAAATACAAAACAACCATCAATCGGCCTCGGTCTGGAGCTCTGTGCAAGATCTCGCCTCATGGGGTAATGA